TGAGTTGAGCGTGGGTGAGGAATGATGCATATGCACTGCCTGCTAGTGTAGTTATTTAAATGTGTACAGAATTACGTTTTTAAACCTGGAAACTGTGCATCGTGTTCTCTGCAGCATGCAGCTAATGTAGCCTTTCTTCTCTCCTCCAATACATTTTTGTACTGTGAAGATCAGCAAAAGCCTGGTTCTCATTTCAGCACCTAGATGACCCCAGTACCATTTATATGAATAAAAACCAACTGCACGGAGTCCCTGGGAGTGCCATTAATTAACACAGAGTACCATTAATACTCAGGGCTCTGAAACTTTTATTTTCCTTTCTGCAAATGTACTCACTTTCTTGATTACCTCTAACATTCATAAGCTGCCTTTTGGCAGGAAAGTAGTGTGCATCTTGTCAGACATAAGAGTTAGACTGTTCCCAGTATGATGCCCGCAGGTTTGCTACATAAATCCACATGATTTGAGGACTAGATCATGTCATCAGTTTGTACACGTTTTACTCCACATAATTGAAATAAATGTTGTGGAATAGCCAGCTTGTGAAATAGCCAGATAAGACTGTGTCAGACTAGAAGTCCATCTGTGCATGATCTCGTCTCCAACAGTGGCCAATAGCAGGTGTTCAAGAAGGGTGGATAAGAGTGGGATAGAGATCTGTTGGCCATGAAATGATGATTTATGACAAGCAGGCTTTGTCTTGGGGGAAATGTGGAAGCAGCTGAGAAAATCAGTAGATCACAGAAACTAACCAAACTGCTAAGATGCACAAGTGAAGTGTCCATAGTCACTTAAGTAGCTATTGATTGGTAGTGTCCTCAAAGCTTACTGCAGCCTGCTTCTCTGAAAAATAGGAAAGAGATGCAAAAATGACAGCTGTGCGCAACTTAGTTTGCCTCTTTCAGCAACATTGAAAGTAGCTCTACTGAAAGGCAGCCAGGCAGTCTTAGCAGAGCGTTTTGTCCTATCTGATTTGAAATGGATATTTGATATCCTCTACGATGCTATGGATCATATGTTTCTTCCTCTGTAAAAATAAAGTTATGCTTGTTGGAGGTCTTGTGTGCTGGATTGCTCATCTTGGTATATCCCATGTTTGTTATCTGAAAACTTTGAAGTTACAAAGCTACTTCTTAAAAACCAGAACATAACAAGAGTTTGGTGGAATGCAGCTCCACTCTTTTGGTCCTTACATTTTATCCTTTTCCATATTGGTAGATTGTGTTGGGCAGAGAAGGAGCTCTGAAAAATGGCAGATAGTCTTCTGAATATAGGCACTTCTCTTTCATACTCAGGATGTTCATCATGGTTATAGTAGTTCACTGTCTTCTCTGAATATCTGAACATCTAAATCTTGGACTTATAAAAAAATATTTTATTGATGTATCGTGAGTCTGAGTTGCCAATTTTCTACAAATGTTCCAATTTATGAATTTTTAGAATATTATTTTCTGAAATAATTTTTTTCCATTAAATGTTTTCCCCCTTTACTTGCTTTGTGAATTGCTGACAAAACTTGGAAAACAACAATAAAGAAAAAAGAAGATCATAACCAAGGTACCTTCGGAATTAAAATAGAGGAAGAAATGTCCCCCGTAATAAGGCGACCCTAGTACAAGCAGTGGAGCAGAAGATCTTTCTTCTTTTCTTTCCTTTTCTTTTCTTCGGAAAGAGAGCCTTAACTCACCCAAAACAGGCCTCAGGCATGGTTTCTCCTCCCCTCTCTAAAGCTATGTCCTCCTGCTTGGCAGTCCCCAACCCTGGGTGCTTTACTGAAGCAGCATCTGGAGACTGCAGAGAGTTGCACTGGAAGTACTAAAAGGTGAAATTCTGATAATCCCAGTTAACTCTGTGAAGGCTGCAGGGCTGCTGATGGATAAACTCCTCTTCTATCTGTAGTGGATACCTGCAGTTTGCTCTGAATAAACCAGCTCTAGAAGATTACTGCTTTTGATTTTAGAGTATTTCAAGCAGTATCCAGTATTTCTTTAAGCTTCTTAGCAAGATAATTTTTTTTTTCCTTTTTGCATTTACAGCTAGTAGGAAGTTTCAAAGAAGATGGTACGGGGGGAAGGGAAAGCCTTTGCTGGCACTGACTCAAAAGTTTGCTTTTGGGGATCCAGGGGGAGAGCTCCAGTACTGCCCAGTCCAGGGGGAAGGAGGGAGAAGGTGTGCTGACAAAGGGCTGCTGTTGCACAAACTTTTGGAGGAGGCTGCAGTAACTTAGACAAGTCTCCATAACATAATTCCGCTAGCCCTCAAAGCATCCCAGGACTAGAAAGAGTCCAAATTTGGGTTCAAGCCATCCTTGCTGCAAGTACTGTTCTGTACCTCTTTCTGGTGTAACATGAGCTTTTACCCGTAGGAGCTAAAGTTGTGGAAGTTGCATGAACCCTGGCCTTACAACAGTGGCTGCTGCCGGTGGTACCAGTAGAAACCCCAGTCAGCCACATGGCAAAATTCACTAGACAAAGTCCGTGTTTGGATTTTAAACACAGGTGTGTTTTTTGGCAAAGGTCTCCCTTGCTTGCCAAAGCCATTGCTGCACGGACAGCAGGATAGAATGGATGTATTTCAGATGCATTGAACCTCCTTTGGGCCACACGATATTTTTGGTCTCCACATGTTTATATACAGTCCAGGTCCTGGCTGCCCTGTCTAGACAACTGGATATTTCAAAATCCTGATTGCATCTTCAGCATTCTAAGCTTCTCCAAGATGAGATTCTTAGGTATAAAGAGACATAGCTGAGGAATACAGGTTGTATCTTACCCCTGTGTGTTCTGGTCTGAGTTTTGCTTTTCCTTCTCCTTGCTTGTCTAACAGCGTAGGAGGCCTGGAGAACACTGAGGAGATTTTCCCCTTGTCTTAGCTTCTGGTGCCTGACTCTGCAGTGATTTCAGGCTGCTGGAAGGAGAAATGGCCCTGGAAAATCCTGTGACAGTCTCAGTAGCATTGTGGTGGCTTGTTACTTATTGCAGATTGCAACTGCAAAGGAACTTGCTATCTGCCTGTAAAGAGCGTCTGCAGAACGCATGGCAACATATTTGGAAGGGGCTTTTGTAAAAAGACATATTGGGACAATTAAGCTGATACTGACGCAAGTTATCAGTTAGGCTGATACTGACTCAAATAAGCATAATTTGGTCAATTTTCATGAAGATGCCTAAAGATACATATCCTGGTGGTCAGGGAGGCCTTCTGCCAAACTTCAGGTGGCCACTTTGTAGCATGGACACACTAGAAATTCCCAGCAATAAAAGCATAGATTTTTCCCTCCCTCAAAGGATGGGGCATGTTGTCCCTTCCTACAGGCTGTCTGAAATGGCAGCACTGTTTTAGCTGGGATTTGGTGTCACCCATCCTCCCTTAAAAATGAAGCTGAGCTTGATACATCATTCTGTTCCATCAGAAATGGAAAAGCTCTACCAAGATAGCTGGCTGGCCAACTGCGAATGTCCCTGAAAAGTGTGGCTTAGTATATACTGCTGCAGCCTAGGGTGCCCTTAAAAACTTGTCTCCATATACACAATATACAGCTGTCAGCATTTCTCTTAAAACAGAATCTGTGCCCACAAATCCTGGCTGAATCCAGCTACAGAAAATGTAATTTAAATTCAAAATTTGAAGACCATCCATAATGCTTCTTACTTTCAGGTATTAAACTTGTCCTTACTTGCTTTTCATAATCAATGGAGAGAAAGTTCCCTCTGAATGTCCAGATCTCTCTGCTGTCCAGAAAGTGAGGCTCCTACTGTGCTCCTCCTGAAAGCAGGTGGCATGAATGTAGGCAGAGAGGGAGAGTTGTGTATTTCAAGTTTTTTACGAATTTGCTGGTCCCTTAAAGTTGATTAACTTAGTCTAATGTCCTTTATTCTTTAATTTTCCTAATCATGCTTATACTTTTTTACTCATTGGTTCCTTTATTTTGCCTCAATATTGTCAGATCATTCATATCAAAAAAAGCATAAAAACTGACAGTAAACAAACTACTGCTCATCAAAGTGATTCAGTAACTACTTTGGGTTTGGAGGTTGTTTAGAGTTCAGTCCTAGGAATATTCCAACGCTTTATCTTTCAAAATATTGAAAACCTTGGGTGCCCTATACGTTTGCACTTCAGATGTCTAAATGTGATCTTAGGAACCTACCAAGGGCACCCACTTTCTCTTTTAAAGAAATCTTGGCTCTTGTAATTTGTGCCGTTCTAAACCAAACTATTCACAGGCATTGATGTAGGTGCTCACATTGATATATAAAAGCACACAGGCTGAAGTTTTGGTTTGGCATATTGCTTTGTAAGCTTCATCAGGATTTTTTTCTTAAGTTTGCTTCATTGAACCTGATGAGCTCAATGGCTGTTGCAAGATGCCCAGGCGCAGCCATCACCAACAAAAGCAGGGACTAGGAAATTGGCAGGTTCACCAAGCATAAGTAGCCTCATTAAAACTCAGCAGTGTTGTGGAGGAGTAAACTACTTTAGCATGACACTGGGCCCATGGGTGGGCAGTGACTTGTCCTTTCCTTGCTAGCAAGAATTTGCTTTGTTCATGGTTTAGTTCTCTTTTAAGTATTCTGTAGCATTTATTTTTTGGGCAGGTAATATGTCAAGCTTCTTCTTCTTTCTCTGCTTTAAGACCCACTAGCTTTGTTTTCATTGCGAAATCACCATCTCCTGATGCTGGGTTATTATAGTCCCTGTTCAATTGGCCAATCATTTCCCCTCTCATCACTCTTTATGCATATTTCCTCTGAAGATTTTCCTTTTATTTTTAATCATGGCCTCTGGTGTGTCCTTTTGAAAAGTTTAATCATGTCCTCTGTGAAATATGATTGTGTAGTTTGACCACAAATGAATGAGCCTGGTTGCTTGCGGGACCTAGTGGTCTGCTGTCCTAAATAGACTGACCACTATCAGTGATTGCTTTTCATCCTGCTACTGCCACTTAATGGCCTGTTGTCGTTAGAAATCCATGCTGGTATCTGGTGCTTTACTATCAGGCAGCAACTCCTTCTTTGAAGTAAGAAGATAACTGAGCAAGAGTCTCACGTGCAGCCACGTCACTTCACACTGTGGTGTCACCTTAGCAGAATCTGGAAGTGGACGAGAACTTCTTCCCAGGCATTCCTTTGATCACAGGTGTGTATCTGTAAGTCTGGCTCAGCCACAACTGTGTTCAGTTAGACTAAGGCGATCTAAAATTTTGCTCTTCTACTGAAGCAGTGATTAAAGTCAAAGTCCTGCTTTGTACCTTTCTGAGCTGAGGTATACCGTTGTGTTTCTCTTCCAGGCTTTCCCTAACAGGCAGATCACTCTGGAAAAGAACCTGTCATCTGTAATACCCAAATAACACATAATCCACAGAAACTGAAATGGAAAATTTTTTTAAAGTTGGAGACAGGCCAGAACTGCAACTTCCCACCATAGTTCCTAACTCCTCCTCGTTGTGTGCTTTCTCACACATGACTATTTCCATATACCTTTCCATATACATTACGCATGGACTTGACATGTAGTTATTTCCATATATCTTCAACATTCATTGAGAACATAAGACAGGCATTGAGAGCTAAACTCATGGCTTAAATTCCATATACAAACTGGCATTTCCTCATCCTTCAGGCACTTAACCTGCAGAAAATGGCAGGACTTAAGTGAATGAAATTAGTTGGTGGGAATATAGGCCTGCATCCTCTGTGATACTGTATGCACCTATATGTATTTATTGTACCTTGCTCTTCCAGTCAGTATGCAGTCTGCAGGACACTGCTTTCCTTACCATTTTTTTAAATATCTAATATTTCTGATTTTGAACTTTCAAACATACCTAGGTGCCCATATGGAAACAGTACTCGGGAAACAGTACTCGGGATTACTAAGAAAGGTAGTATTTCCATTGTCTGGACAATTAAGCACTCAGTTGGCTATGCAGTTTAATTATTAAGAGCTGCTGATGGTAGGATTTAACTTTTCTCTCATGTTCCTCTATCTAGAGTTCAATTTGGCTTGTGACTTATACAATCCACTATCAAGTATTGCTCAGAAAGCTGGGTTTTTTTCTTTAATCCATGCATCTTCCTCATGGTCAGAGACTGGGAGACGATTTCTGTTTTATAGAAGGTGAAATTATGTATATGATAGTAATTTGAATGAATTTGCATAAGGCATTGAGTAGTTTTCCGGAGAAATGCTAATTTGTTCTGGATCGACCTTGAAAAGGAATCAAAGAAACTTTCGAGCTCACACGCTTGTTTTTGCTGGGCTCATAGAGAGCAGCCTCAGATTTGTGTAAAATGTTTCTGTTCCCTAATTGGATTGCGGTCAAAATTGGATTGTCCTATAATCTAAGCACTGGCATCAGATGGATTCCTGCTCTCTTATACTTTATGCTCCAGAGCAAGTAAGCCCGACTAGTGCACCTTCCAGCTTTTAATACTGGAGATGAGTAGGCACATTAGGTGGAAGAAGGTGTCCAATGTTAATTTTCATTGCTGTGGCGATGAGATACACTTCTTAATATGACTCAAAAGAATCCTGTCTTTCTACTCTATCTCTAATAATGTTTCTGTTTGTTTGCCTTCAATAGTTTCTTGTAAAAAAAGCTACACTGGATTCTCGAAGGATTCACAGAGACCTAAAAGACATTGACCTCAGCACCACTCTTCTAGGACCTTGGAGAAGGATGGAAAATGTGAAAAATAGAAGTAAGGTATAAGAAGCCTATATTATTCTGTATTGAAGGAACCAAAGCCGTGTTACCAGATTCAGTTGTTATTGTGTAGTATCAGTAGTAAAAAAGACTTTACATGTGTGTGTACACGGCGCGTATGTGTTTTCACATGCCTGCTGAACTGTAGGCAGACTGGAGCAGAACATTCACTTCAGTACATATGCTCCACTTCAAAAACCAAATCTGGCGTTCTCCTTAATTTTCAGAATTCAAGTGCAAGTTTATCCAAGCAAGCTTGTATTTAGATTCCCGCTCTGCAGTGTCATGTGCTGCCCATTTCCATGGCAGTGTGTATGTCTGGGTATGTATTTGATATATTGTTCGATCTCTATGTAACACCAAGTTGGGCAGTCCAGTCTTTCTGCAGGGATTAAGTTGTTAAAAGAAAGGATCAGCTGCCAGTTATTTATTATGTGAAACGCATGTGTCTTGTAACCTTTTTTTAAAAACAGAAAAGACTTTATTAAGCAAATCAGTGAATGCCTGCTTGTGTTGCACATTGCTCTGTCTTAGGGAATGCATAACAATGCGACTGATACAGAGCAAAAACAAGCCAAGAAATACCTCCTAATGTAGTGCGTTCACTTCTCCCTTGGGAGTTTGCTCTGAAGGTAGGTTGCTGTCCTGAAATTCTTGCTCCTTCAAACCCAGTGAGTCCTTCAGATATTTTATGTTGGCCATCGAAGTATAGCAGCAGCTGCTCTAAGTACTCCATCATGCATTTGGTGACATACCTGTCAGGTTCATCAGAGGCAGAATAGCTTTTGGAAACTACCAGCAAAGAATAAGAGGTGAGAAGCAGCAGACTGCAAAGCTGCTCTCCGGGGAGAGTTAAAGCCAAGGAGATTTCAGGCAAGCTGAGGCAGGGGAAAGAAAAGATTGCAACAGTTCAGTCTTTGCATTCTTTTGGAGTTGGTCGTGGTACCCTTTATAAATCATATTCATCAAGGCTGCTGTCCTCTTTGCGTGGCGCTTCCTCGACAAAGATAATAGCCACTGCAAAATATCTAAATACCTCTGCATGCCTGTGTTTGGTCTATGGTCTTTTAGGGGTATTTGTGATGTTTTAGCTTCTGAGATCTAGCCTGGAAGATGCATATAGGTCTACGTATTTCATTTACTTTACAAAATCTTGGAGGTGCCCAGATTTTTCTCCTCCTCTTTATGATGGTGCACATAGTGGCTGAGACCCCACACTCCACACAGGCAAATTTTGAATTTCATTTTGTGGCCTTTTGGGGAAGCCAAAAACATACATGGCTTTTTAAAAGTGATTAAGTAAATTCATGGCCTAAGACTATTGGTGGCTGTTTTGCCCAGGGGTTCAGAGGCAGCTTCCAGCTTGGGACATCACTGAGCACTTGCTGATGGGAAAGGCTATATTGAGGCAGAGCGTTCTCCAGACACACCTTTACACTCTTCCCTAGCCACCTCCGTTGGCCACCATCAGAGAGGATACTTGCAGCACAGCTGTCCTTACCTAATTATAAGGATAACTCTTTGACGAGAGTTGTTCTTAATCTGAAGTCTTACGCTATTTACATTGCTGCGGAGTATGCAACAACTGTGGGCCTTTTTTTAAACTTTCCCCTTGTATCTTTTTTGCCTGTAACTGCTTGATCAGTAAAACATCATTCCAAGTAAGACAGAAGGGGTTCAGAATTACAGCCTAACTTGAATGAAATTCAAGTAAAGATTCGGCAGGCCACACACCTGCATTCAGGAGAGTTGTGCGTAGCAAGCATAGGTAGAAAGGTTTCAATAGACCTGCCCTTTAGAATTTGTATCACTTTTAATCTGATCGCTACATGCAGTTTAGCTTGCATGAAGTCATATATGTTGCAGGAGGTAGTTTTTCATCTCTGAGTATGGGAGACTTTCTTGTCCCTCGAGAGTCTCTGTAGCCTGGGAATAGAGACCTGCAAAGCTGTTGTCAGATTAGTACTTAATTTTTTGCAAAAGGTAAATAGAGCCAGGAAGACAGCAGTGTGCCTAGCGTCCAGGTGTTGTATGCCTGTTGAAGAAACAGGTCTCAGGCCTATCTCACGTGACTAAGTCTCATGCTTGTTCCGGTACATTTGAAATCTTGCTTTCTGCTCTGCAACTTGTTCTTGAGAAGACAACGATAAGAAAGTCCAGTGGCCTCTTTGCATCCTGAAAGGTAAGCTGGTAGAAGCCAAACTAAAAGAGAGTAATAATTGTGAAAGTCAAAAAGAAAAGTAAATATTAATACTTTTCAAGGGAGGAGGGAGGTGGCTGTTTACTTCAGCAAAATATTTTGTCCTACTCTGCTTGCAGCAAAACTTGGAAAAGGCAGGTTTACAAGTGTGCTTACATGGCTGAGAAACTGTTCCTGTCCCCTAGGTCTTCTTGCTTGTAGCGAACTGTAAGAAAAAAACAGAACCCTCTAAACCCAGTATCTGTTTCTCTGCCTGGTATGTTTTAGGCTTGATTGGTTTCTAGTGCCTTGGTTAACTTTTGTAGTCTGTGAAATAGATGAGGTTTCAAGGCAGAAGAAATGTTTCTTATTTTTTCCTAAATGCTGAAAATTACCTTATTTAGCAAGAAGGAGGGTTTTTTCATATATTTATAAATGTTGAGGCATAACATTCATGAGTGGTGAGTAAGTTGCTGCTCGTTTCGTCCCTTTTCTACAGATTCAGGCTTTTTTACAGTCTCTTCTCCTTTTTCCTGTCCTGATTCATCGAGCAGAGAGTTTTGCCAGCTCTCACTTGTTTGTGATTTAAGAGCTAGTCAGAAAATGACTGTCAAAGAGGGTTGTGGGCAATTTTTGCTAGCTATATTTATTAAAAAAACCTCCTTATTCAGAGATCCTGCAATGTCTCCTAGTACGTGCTGGCTACCCACAGGTTCAAGACCTGCCTGCAGAACCTATGGGGTGGATTTTTGGGGGACTGCCTCAAAATTGACTGAGCAGCAGCCATCTGTTTTTTTTAATAATGTTTCAGGGATGCTGCTTGAATTTTCCATTACCTTTTAAAATCAGTCCCTCGGTTCAAACCTGATCTTTGTGTGCCTCTCGCTGCCACGTATCTGCTTCCTCCTGCACTGGTCCTGCTGATCTTCACTCCAGACCTTGCACCGCGTTGTGAGCTGAGGCAAAACTCATTATCTCTGGTGAAAGAACTAGGAAGCCTTTGAGTACAATGAAAATAATAAATATGACAAGTGAGGACCAGTATTACAGCCCTCAAGCAAAGAAACCTCATTAGTCTATGGTTTAGTTATGGCTTTGGTTATTTACAGTTCAATATGTTTTTTGGCTGTCTCTATACGCCTACAGTGTAACTGTGCTCTAACAAGCGACTGTGCGTTTACAATGAACACGCTCATAAAATTACAGCAACTGTTTCTTCATGGGGCTTCTGTGAAAATCCTGCCGTGTTTGTACATAACAGATAGGCCTACAGGAAAGTCACATTGAGTTTTCCCATTTGAAATGCCCAGCAAGTATCAACACAATATACATCTGAATACAAATATTTTCCATTAGTTCTGTTTAAAGTACTGGCTAACAACAGAGTGTCCACAAATCATTCTGTATTGAATTTCACACTTGTGCTCAGGCGATTTACTGTAGGTCTTATTTCTCTTTTAAACTTTTTTTTTTTTTTCTGAACAGAAAATTCCCCAAGGAAATCTCCTTGGTAATCAGAAATTATGTTAGGCATCCTTTCAAAACATACTGCTAACTTTCGTTGACTGAAACTATATCCAGAAAAGACAATAATTACAACGTTAAAAAACTAATCAGTAGGTATCTTGCAAGCATCTCAAGTCAGATACTGCATCTAAGGGCTGCGCTGCTTCTAAAAGTAGAATTTCTGGATTTGTTTGGAATATTTGGAATAATATGAATAAGTGATGCCACTACAGTAGGCCAAAGCTATTTGGAAAAATGATTAGATTGTTTTCAGTTCATGAATAAATACTAATGAATTAAAGATGAAATAACTTAAGAGTGTAGATGTACAGGCTCAAAAATGTCTATGTGTGGAAAATACAGCTGAATAGACAAGCTCATCGTTTCCAATTTTAGAAGCTATTGTGAGCAATGAATTAAAAATGATCTGATTTATAGAGATAATAGTTCTCAGAGATTCTTTGTTTGAAAATGTTGGCTGCAGCTCTCTTGTTGTTCCATTTTAGTGGTCACATGATGACAGGTTTCATTTTCAAAATCATTTATTGCACTTCACTAAAATACACCTTCACATAGTTTTCTCATGGATCAGGGGGGTTTTTTTTGTCCATTTTAAAACATACTTCAACAGCATGCCAAAAATGAAGTCTAACAAGGCTGGATAGTGATGCAGAGAAAGCCACTTTGCTGTGGTTAGGTGCAATTAAAAGAAGAACTGCAATTCTTTGAGTCGTCATAATGCTATAAATTGATGGCTGTGCTCTGTGGGAATCATGCTTGGCTCGTGTCTGTTACCACAGAAACTTGCAGGGGGAATGCGCCAGGCTTTATCCCACGCAGAAACAGCAAATCCGGGCGGAAAAACACACGCTCCACAGGAAACAGCTCACACAGAGACAGGAATGAGAAGGGAAGAGTAAAAGCACGAGGAAGGATGAGTGCCTTGTCCAAGTTTTACTGAGCCAAGATGATGAGCAGGTAGTCATCCAGGGTATCCTGGTTTGCAGCTGCTGCTTCTCCTAGGTCAGATGCTGCGTCGCAAATGTACAAGTGTTCCACTGGTCTTGGAGAAAAGGAGTGGCCCTGGTATTAATGCTTTAAAAAGCCATGGATGAAGGGCCAGTTTCTCTTGTTAGTGCCTCTAAGGAGGTCCCTGGGGCTGGAGGGAGATGGGACAGACCAGGTGAGACCTTGTCGGATTGCTAAAATTGGCCTCCTGTTCTCTTGTTCATCCTGAGAGGTTTTTTTTTTTTTTTTTTCCCATCTGCTCCACTGGAATACAGACCCAGAAACAAATTTCTGTCAAAGCTTCTTCAATCAAAGATGGCTTCTGGTCACATGGGAATTTTTGCTGGGAATATTTGGCTCTGATAAACTTTGAGTTCTCGCTTCAGCTGAGAGTTAAACAAAACCTTGGTGTTTTCCATTTTGATGACAGGTGATTTTTCACTTTTAGAATGCTACATTTCAATAAAGAAGAATTTCAAATGCAAATGTCCTATGACAACTCTTTGTTCCAAAATATCTTGTAGGGGAAAAGTGCCCAATTACATGCAACAGGCATGAATTCTGACTTTGTGCAGTTTGCCTTCAGGAAGATGATTATCAGGTAAACAGCAATGTCGATCCTTACTTCAGACCCAGAGCTGTATTAATCTGCATGTCAATTCAATTTGTTTAATGCAGTAGTCTTACTCTATTGCTGAGGCAGTGCATGAATTTGCCTAGCCTCCTGAGTCAATTGCTTTCTCTCCAGCTGCCTCATAAACTGCACTTTCACAAAGGACTATAAAAATGAAGGCTTTAGAAATACATGTTACTTTGTCTCGAGTGCTTGTGACTCAGAACAGTAGAGAACTCTCCTTTTGACTGGTGCAACTTGGGTTCCTGTGAGGATTTTTCTCTATGGTAAGCAAGAAAACTACAGTGTGAAGACCGGACTTTTGTTTCTAATTATTCCTATCAGCCTTTCAAAAGAAAGGGCTGATTGTGCAAGTCTTTTCCATTGCTGTGGTAATGTGAAAAAAATCAGAAAGCAGCCTAAATTCTGTTTCCAGTTCCTTGAAAGCCCCTCTGCTTTGACAGCACTGTAGAAAGGGACCTTGGCATAAATAACTCAAAGCTGAACTCTTTTAAAGGGATTAGGAGGAGTCAGCCTGAAGCTTTAAGGGTTGATGAAAACTCCACATCATTTCAAATCGGAATGAATCATAGAAATCCTGAATTGCAGCTGCCGTTTGGCTTTTGAAAGGGCTCGTGGAGCAAGTTTAAACCCAATGCAAACGAGTTTTTCCCATGTAGTTCATAACTGCATCATGCAACAGGATGTTGAGGAAGCCACAGAGATAAATGGTATTAAGAGGAGATTAGACAGAGGAGCATACCATTAGTGGATATGAAATACCAGAGAGTGGAGAGAGCTCATGGCTTAGTGAGTGCTCAGACATCTGTTTGGCTGGGAGAGCCTGGAAGGACAGGAGGCTCTGTGTGCACTGAGGACCTCCCACGCTGGCTTGCGTGTTCCCCACAGCCCCTTGTGAGCGGGATGTGCCGCTGGGTGCCTTCTGAGTTTTGGTGCAGGCTCAGTAACTTGGCGTTATTTGTGCCTGTGCAGTTCACCATTAATGCACGCTGCTGATGGATGCTTTACATTCATGCTACCTGTTAGGAGGATCTTTGCCGGGCTCACTGAGGCTTTCATTGTGAGTTTGAGATCCTTTTCTTTCTTCTTTGAAATCATTCAATTTTTATCAGCTACTCCTACAATGTATCACTCTGAAGAGCATTTAGTAGAGATGTGGTGTAATTTCAGCTCTGTAGAGACCAGTTTAGTATTTAAAGTTATGATAATATCAGTGAGATAGTAGAATTTGGAGAGAAGACATAGCTGATCAACAAGGGAAAGACCATACATTTCCTTGAGGTGCCATGAGCAAATTAGCAGTCTGCTCTTCTTTCCTTTCTGTTTCTGCATGGAATTTTCAGCAGAAGAAAACAAAAAACTGGAAAGAGAGTCAACGGTTGAAGGCCAGACACAGCAGCAACAGCACTGTGTGTTAATGAGCAAGGACAGGCAGCCCATTAGCAATCTCAAATGGAGAATATTCCTGAGCTAAATGTGAGCTAAATAAAAGGTGTGCTTTCTTCCCCTTGCGCCCTCTCCTCCCCACACATGTATGGATGCAATCCTTTACCCCAGCCTGGGAAATATGTCCTTCTCCAGTTGGCATCTTGGCATAACCTCAGCTGCACACTGATTACAGGAGGTGCTCGTTTGTCATTCTCTGCTCAGTGAGAAAGATTTCCCAGAGCCTAATGATGGATAAAAAAAGCAAGACCTTACCTGTATTCTCCATTCTCTGTGATAACTCAGTTTAGAATCTCTAGTGGATACTTAAATCAGTCCTGGTTCAGCAAAGCACTTAAGCACACATTGAACTTGAGCACAGGCTTAAGCACCCTTCCCCCCCCTCCCTCCATTGCTAGGGTGCATGCTGGTGTCACATATGAGAACAGAAATGGCCAATTGGCCAATTTACAGCTCTGGAGCAGCTCTAGCAGCTCAAAAGTGACTTCTGTGTTGAGATTTTGCCCTTCCTGCTAGCTGAGCTGGGGAGGAGACTGTGGTGATGTTTTTTTTTTTGGGGGGGGGAGGGGGGAAGGGTGGCCCCCTGCTATGAGAGGATGAAGAACTACACAGATCTCCACTGGCTTATCCTGCAGCTCAGCAGCGAGTCCAACACAGCTCTGTCACACAAGAAAGCAGATGGCGTACTGAGGAAAGCACTGCTCCCTCCTTCCTTCTAACTGGCCCTGGGGCACTCCTCCTCCTTCTTCTCCTTAGCTCTCCAGGCCTTGTGGCTTTGGGATGGTAGGGTGCTTCCCACCCTGGCCAGACACTAGAGAAATTTGGCTGAGTCTCTTCGGTTGTCTGCAGGGTGTGAGTGGCCAGGACAAAAGCAAGGAGCCCATCCTCAAAACTCAGTGCCAACTGGAGGAGCTTTGCTAAGGTCTGTGGTCATCACCCCCATCGTTTTGTAGTGAGATCAAGCCAGGGGAAGGGGAAGGCAAACTGTAACAGGAAGGTTTATGGAAAAAAATTACACTAATACCATTTTTCACTGTGGAAATCGAGGAGGTTGTATATCAGATAACTTCCCAAACCAGGAAATGTAGAAAGAAGAATAATTATTGTGATTAAAATTTGTCTTTAAAGTTGATCCTATAGATTTACAGCTAAGATGTGTCTGCTGAGGGTATTCTTTCAGTTTCACCCCAAGAAATTTAAGAATGAGGAATGAATACAAGTTGAATGCCAACCAAACAGTATCATACCTAAGGAAGGAGTACACAGTTGCTCTGGAAATGTGTTTTATAGAAGGGAGATGTACACTGAAACAAGCTCAGAAGGCAAGTCTGAGATCTCCCTCTTTCTCCTTCCTTCTGCTCTGTAACACTTTTTTCCACTTTTTTCTCTAGTCTTTCCTTTTCCTTCCAGCTCTGACACACAAGCCTTGGTGAATGTGACCATGGTGATTTTTGCTGTATGGACTGCCAGCTGTCTGCCTTGCTGCGGTGCTGGTGGGTTTACGGATCACACAGCAGAGGTGGTCCCGGTCACAGCCTAACATCTGGGAGGCTGCTTCTGTGCCAGATGCAAGGACAGTTTTTTATATTTATTATTATTATTTGGTTTTGTATGTTTTTGCAGTTCCATCTGCAAATCCGTGTGCTGCTCACTGTCAGAAGTAGGATGTTGTTCCAGGTGGATGTTGGGTTTGTGTCTATTGGGGTGCACCCCCAGACCCTGATCCAGCGAGGGGCCCAGTCATGGTAGGAAGTTCCTCAAAGCAGGGTTGGTCTGACCATTTTGTTCACTGAAGGCTCTGCTGGGGTGAGTATCATGACACAGCCAAGCACAGAGATGTGGGATTTGGGACGCAGAAAATCAGCAAGGACTTGGGAGTCAGAGGGAGACATGCTTTTCTTCCAGGTCTTCTCAGAGAACTGCAAATCATGTCCAGAAATCCTCACTAGAAGTTTGACGTGTCTAGGAAAACTTGCCTCCAGATATATGGAAAGATCCCTGAACTGAGTATGCCTGTATGTGAATGCATGTGCATGGAAGTGATTAAAAAAAAATTTAAAGCTCCGCTTTTGCAAAAATTCTTTTTTCCTTAAAAATGTTGAATTTTCAAGGAGGTTTTGGTCGGGGACTTTGAAAATATTAGAGATGTTCCTGATACACCTGCAGCTGATGTGTTTTCACTGACCTACTCCTGATTGCATCTGCTGAGTCCCCCTGAACTCAGTGCAGCATCTCCAAAAGGACGCTGCAAATACTGGGGCTCTTCACTCCCTCTTAGCCGGGACGTTCCCATGTGTGTGATATAAACATAAGAT